CCCTCAATGATCCCTCCTTCCTAACCGATTTTTCTATGTTTTACGTTTATTTCAACTGTTTTGTATGCATTTTAACTCTTTTAAAATTGTTTTAATGATGAATGTTTGGGAGGGGGGAGTAGATCTTAATGGTTTTATGCCATAATATTATCATTTATGTTTTAAATTTAGCTGCCTTGGCCATTGTGAGGGCAGAAAGGCGGGATACAGATTTAGTATATAAACTAAAAATAATGGAAGATGTTCTGTCATACCAATAGTCTCCACCAGAAATGACCCAAGCCAATGAAAACAGTGCAACGGTATAGATTTTCCTTTGGGTTTTCCCCTCTGCATGTAAAATTTTTAACACTTCTGTGCTTCACATATACCACACTAAGGACTAGTTATGGTTTCTCTCCAAGTGATATCGGAACACAGATCACATGGGAAGGGCCAACTGGAGGACGCTCACAAACATTCCAATGTAGAGTGGTTCTCCACCTGTACAACGCTAGGAGATCAAAATTTAATATTGTGTCCTAACTCGACCTGCTAAGCTTTGCTCTGTGGCAAGGAGATTACGACAATCGTACGGGAGTGCTCTCAAGTTTTTATTTATTTATTTAATTCATACCCTGCCTTTCTCCCCAATGGGGACCCAAAGCAGCTTACAATTCCATCATTGTCTCCCGCATTTTGTCCTCGTGACAGCCCTGTGAGGTGGGTTAGGCTGAGAGAGGATGACTGGCCCAAGGTCACCCAGCGAGCTTCCATGGCATTAGTGGGGATTCAGTCTTAACCACAACACCACAGTGGTTCGTCTCAAGTGAGTGTTTCCACATGTGTCTTCTACAGCAGTACACTCTGAGGCAGGACTGATCTTTGGACAGCTCAGAACTGCTACAAACCCTTGAAACTCACCAAGGTGTTTTGTATTTAATAAAGCCATGGCTGACTCTCGACACGGCTGACTTATCAATACAAATGGAGTTCATAAAAGCAATGCATTAAAAAGCTTCTGTCTTAATGAGCCATTTATGAAACCTGTTTGTCATTGACACCGAAAGGTTTTTGTATTAATAAGCCTTTTGCTTGTCAGTAACTGTATGAGATCAAATCATTGATGACTACAGCCACAGCTAAAGGAGCCATGTCTGACCACGTGTCATTGGATCACCTCGTTAAGTCTTCCAAACATTTATCTACAGAAAATCACTTCAGGTGCCATCTCAAGGATTTGTACAGAAGACGGCTTCGGCTATCAAGTCATGTTCCTATTCACCACACAAAATTTGGATTAAAGAAAGCAGACACACATTAGGTCAACATTTTTTTAAAAAAAATCATACCAAGTACAGTCCCAATCTTGTTTGTCAAGACAGAATCTGTCTGGTCAAGCCAGCCTCCACCACTGAGGCCTTCCTTGAACTTGACAAGAATAGTTGGATTGCTCAGCAAGACCACCAGAATTCTCATGGCTGCAGTCACTGTGGTAGGGTGTAGATGTTCCTCCATGAACAGCATGACCCAGTCAAACCCAAGGGTCCGAACCAGCTCTTCACAAGCCCTAGGTAAAGACAGGGGAAATGCCACAGAATTGCTTATACGGGACAGTGTTCCAAAGCCAAACAAAATAGGTACTTAAAGCAGAGATTCTCAACCTGTGGGTCGCGACCCCTCTGGGGGTCGAACGACCCTTTCACAGGGGTCGCCTAAGACCATGGGAAAACACAAATTTCCGATGGTCCTATGATAGCAACGAAAATAATTTTATGGTTGGGGGTCACCACAACATGAGGAACTGTATTAAAGGGTCGCGGCATTAGGAAGGTTGAGAACCACTGCCTTAGAAGATAACAAAGGCTTCCAAAAAATTTGACGGATAAAATTACCAACAACTCTAAGACAATTAATGTTGAATCCTTGAATATTTCTGAATTCATGAAAACATTAATGTACGTTCCCCCCCACACAAACACTAATTCTTACTCAAAAATAAACACATTTTTGGTCTCTCCATGCTTTTTGACCCCAACAGTAGCCATTAGTATAGATGCTGTGACATATACAGACCATGGCCTTAGAGTAACTTGGAATTCTTCACATACATTAACAAACGTTCACTGGCAATTTATTAAGGGACATAATGAGATAGTGATAGAGGAAAAATAACTTCTGGATGAATTGAATTAACTCATTCCCCAGCAGGCATTAATTAGCCTACTGTTAGGGAAGCTGCTATGAGCTTGTTATGTGAGGGGAAATGATACCTCTCTCCTAGCTAATAAAAACAGCAGAGATTTTAACAAAGAAAATATTTGAAACAGCAGCCGTTTTTGGATCACATCAGGCAACCTGAAACACAATGTTAAGAAGACCACAAGAACAGCTGTCTGGGCAGTTAGAATGTTGCAAAACAAAAATCTGGAGTTGAAAGAAACAAAATTATGCAAACAAACCCACGGAAGTACTTGCAAAAGTACCACGGGGGGTGGGGTTTGAGAAATAATTAAAGTTGCTGACAGATGGGCAAAAAGAAATGTTTTAGCTGCTCAGAAATTATTATATGGAGTTGTATACATCTGGTTTGTCAGACATGTGTCAAATATTCCATTTCACATTTCCCTGTTTGAGCACTCAGTTCCCACGTTAATGGAAATTTTTCCTCATGTTATAGAACTAATCTCATCAACATCCAGCCTCAGTTCCCTGCACCATTTACCCTAATTAAGCAATACTTAATTCTATTCACCAAACCTGGTAGCTTTTCCCATCCAGTACTTACAGGGTCATCAAGCCCCATTTACACCTATAGTCCACCTTAGGAAAACCCATCAAGATTCTCCCAAATCACTGTCCACTTCCAAAAACCCCCCATCAAGTTACTGTTTGGGGGGCAAATACGTCAGCTTGCCTCATGGAGCATTTTGCCCTATATTGAGAGTCCCTAGCCACCAGTGCTGTGTCTGTTCTCAGATCCATACATGTGTCCCCAATACGTTGGGTCTTCTCTCCTTCTCACCATGGAACACTGGTCATTTTGCTGCTGCCTCTGCGGACCTCTTTCTTTGAGCCTGGTAATTATAGCCTTCCACGAAATTGCTTTCCCCCCTTTCCTCCGATTTCTTCTTAGCTAGCCTTGTATGTATTTTTCAGTGTGTCTGTCTGTATGCATGTTTTATCCTTTATTCTCCTTTTTAATAAAAAGCCTTTCCGGTTGAACACCTGCCTGGTTTATTTTGAGCATTCTCTTAAGGGAAATATTCCCATAAACATTGATAGAGAATTCCATTTATCTCCTCTTGCTTTGTCTCCTTTAAAGCTAATTTCCCCAACTAATTAGGAGACTGCCTATTTGGGTTACACAAGGATCTTCCTTCTTATACTCCTGTGCCACAGTTATATTTCCCACCAAACTTCAAACCATCTATACTCACTGCAAGTTGACACTTGTTTTTTCTTTAGATGTGTACACAAGTTTAAGCAGGATATCCAGCAGTCTGTTCCTCAGAAGAATAAGATTTGCACTAACAAGGCCTCCAAAGTCCTCTTCTGTTCCTAAATAAAAACACGTGCACAGTTAATTTCTAATGTACATAATGTACATAACAAGGATTCTATTTGCCAACAAATTTAAATATCTACCTATCTATCTAAGGCAGATAACAGTTAGACCTTGAAGTACATTATGTTTTCCAGTGGGAAAAATGTTTGCAGTTTACCAAACTGAATTGTCCATGGGTGGAAAACTAAATTATACTCAAACAGGTTTGCCACATCATAAAATACACACGCAAAGCTTCTCACACCGGAGGGACCCTGAAGTTACATGGAGGTATAATTTATGCTGCCAGAGGCTGCCTGGACAAAAAGATGGCAATACACAGAGCTGCACCTTCCAAAGATCACTTACCACATTTAATGTTTTCCTTTCATTTAGACTTCCCACACCACATGTTCACACTGCTTATGTAAATAAAGGCCTCTCGAAATATGAGGCCATGGGAGGGGCATCAGAACCTCCAGAAATACTTGAAATTCTGGACTGGGCTGCATCACTACACAAAACCAATTTCTTTTACATGCCTGTGTGAGGGGTGCTCCATCCAAAATTAGAACACTTTATTCCACAAATCCAAGCTAACCCCCCTCATTTCCTCTTGCTTCCCCTCCAGCAGTTTCCCATATATATTCTTTATCAATTTCCCTCCTCTATCGAACCAAATTTTATCTAAATCTGTTGGTTTGGAGTAAAACCCCATCTTCTGATCCTCTTTATGTCTAGTCTTCAATTGCAAATATTGAAACCACGACAATTCCTTATTTTGATTTTTCAAAGTTTCCGCAGATTTTAAGTCATTATTATTCTCTAATAAATCATCATAACACCACCTTTTTTCATAGTCAAACACCGTTGGTAGCATTGAGGTTTCTATCGGTGAGATCCACTTCGGAATTTTCTCATAGAACTGTTTTTTAACCTCCTTCCAAACTTTTAGTAAGGTTTGTCTTAGGTAGTGTCGTTCAAAAAATTTAATCCCTTTGTTATACCAGAGAGTAGCATGCCACCCCAGCAGGAGCTCATGCCCTTCTAACTTCAGGAGTCTACTGTTCGTCAATATAGCCCACTCTTTAATCCAGACCATAGCAGAAGCCTTATAATATAACTCCCAGTCTGGGAGGCCAAGACCACCCTTTTCTTTTCTGTCCTGCATCAGTTTTAACCTGAATCTTGGTTTTTTTGATTGCCAAATAAAGGAGGAAATAATTTTTTCTAAATCTTTAAAGAACATCTTATTCTTAATAATGGGTAACGTTTGGAACAAAAACATTATTTTGGGTAAAACACTCATTTTGATTGTGGCAATTCTGCCTAGAAGTGATAACTGCAAGTCCTTCCAACTTACCAGGTCTTTTTTCACATCTCCAAGCAATCTTTTATAATTGTTTTCAAATAATGCACTACATTTATTTGTTAACCACACACCTAAATATTTGATTTTCTTACTTAATTCAAAGCTAGTTTTTTCTCGTAATTCCTCTTCAGTTGCCTTTGGACAATTTTTTGTTAAAATCTTTGACTTTTGGAAGTTTATCTTTAGACCTGCCACCCGCCCATATGTTTGTAATACTAGGACTAGTTGTTCAATTGATTTAGATGGGTCTTCTAAGATGAATACTAAGTCATCGGCGTACGCCTGTAACTTGAATTGTTCGCCTCTAATTTTTAAACCTTGAATTAGAGGATCTGCTCTCACCATCTCGTTAAGTGCTTCTATTGCGAAAATGAATAACAGAGGTGACAGCGGGCAGCCCTGTCGCGTCCCTTTATGAATGGTAATACTAGAAGTTGTATCCCCATTAAATATTATCTTTGCCTCCTGCTGTTGGTAAATCGCCTGCACCATTTGAAAAAATACCTCTCCGCACTTCCAGTGTCTAAGTAGTCTCAATATATTATGTACATTAGAAATTAACTGTGCACAAGAGACTATTGAGACTATTGTGCACAGTTAATTTCTAATGTACATAATGTACATAACAAGGATTCTATTTGCCAACAAATTTAAATATCTACCTATCTATCTAAGGCAGATAACAGTTAGACCTTGAAGTACATTATGTTTTCCAGTGGGAAAAATGTTTGCAGTTTACCAAACTGAATTGTCCATGGGTGGAAAACTAAATTATACTCAAACAGGTTTGCCACATCATAAAATACACACGCAAAGCTTCTCACACCGGAGGGACCCTGAAGTTACATGGAGGTATAATTTATGCTGCCAGAGGCTGCCTGGACAAAAAGATGGCAATACACAGAGCTGCACCTTCCAAAGATCACTTACCACATTTAATGTTTTCCTTTCATTTAGACTTCCCACACCACATGTTCACACTGCTTATGTAAATAAAGGCCTCTCGAAATATGAGGCCATGGGAGGGGCATCAGAACCTCCAGAAATACTTGAAATTCTGGACTGGGCTGCATCACTACACAAAACCAATTTCTTTTACATGCCTGTGTGAGGGGTGCTCCATCCAAAATTAGAACATGCCTGCATTCAGTGGAACAGAAGACATACCCCTAAAATTCAACCGAAACAGTGCTACAGTGATCTACTCACTTTTAAAGGCTCCACCCTGGACTTGCCCTTACGTCTTATTCAGCAGGTAGAATCATGCAGATGAATCAATCTGCTTTGATGTTGCCATAAAAGACAACTGCTCAGAAGCAATATGGCTCTCATCCCCTCCCACAATTTTCCAGCATGGGCCATGTAGAAATGCCTCCTGATATGGTTCCTAAGAGCCATACTGGTAGCAAAGCATATTGTAATTAGGGTTGCCAAGTCCATCTTCCACCCCCAGCGGGAGACTTTGGGGGCGTTCCTGGAGGGGGCGGGGCATCCCCGACATGATGACGTCACGTTGGGGACGTCCGCCAGCCCCCCCCCCCTCCAGCCGGCGTTTCCCTTTTAAGTGCAGGAGCCGGCGTTTCCCCTTTAAGAGCAAAGAGCAGCGTTTCCCTTTCAAGTGCACAAAGCTGGCATTTCCCTGCAAGCCTGATCTCAAGCGGAGATCGGGCTTGGGAGGAAACACGGGTTCCACGCACTTAAAGGCAGCCACCCCTCTCTCTCTCAAGAGAGAAGGGAGAGGGGTGGCTGTGGGTGTTGGGGGCGGGGCTTCCCCCGCTGGCCATCTAGCCGGTTGCGGGTAGAACCCCCCCCAAAACGGGGGACCCCTGGCAAACCAGGGGGTTTGGCAACCTTAATTGTAGTACAGTACTGGAAAGCTACGCACATGCTCAGAATTTTAATGTGAAGTCAGAGACTTGTTGAGACTTGAAGCCTTAGAACAGACAGCTCACTTCAAAGTATCTAAGGTGAGTTCTTGAACTACTATTTGACTAAAAATGAACAGACGTACACGGGTTCCACGCACTTAAAGGCAGCCACCCCTCTCTCTCTCAAGAGAGAAGGGAGAGGGGTGGCTGTGGGTGTTGGGGGCGGGGCTTCCCCCGCTGGCCATCTAGCCGGTTGCGGGTAGAACCCCCCCCAAAACGGGGGACCCCTGGCAAACCAGGGGGTTTGGCAACCTTAATTGTAGTACAGTACTGGAAAGCTACGCACATGCTCAGAATTTTAATGTGAAGTCAGAGACTTGTTGAGACTTGAAGCCTTAGAACAGACAGCTCACTTCAAAGTACTATTTGTACTTTGTACTACTATTTGACTAAAAATGAACAGACTTATCCTGCCCCCAGATACCACCAACTGTAAAAAAAAATGCCTTTCCTACCTTTCCTCACTCTTACTTTTATTTAATTAGTTTACTATTTATTCTTCCCCATTCTGTTTTGCCATCAAGTCACAGCCAACTTATGGCAACCCCTCATGAGATTTTCAAGGCAAGAGATGATCAGAGATGGTTTGCTGTTGCCTGCCCATGCGTAGCGACCCTGATATTCCTTGGTGGTCTCCCATCCAAATACTGACCAGGGCCAACCCTGCTTAACTTCCAAGTTCTGATAAGACAAGGCTAGCCTGGGCTATCCAGGTCCCTCCTGATGTAACTATTTCCTGTAAGCTTTGATCAGAAGTGTGCAAATTAATCTTCAAAGGGCCCTCCTAACTCAAAACCTCCTTTTCTCTCAGGATGGTGGAGGAAGGGACCGACCTAACGTTTGGAATTCTAGGGTAATGCACTTGTGGATTTCTAGGACTTTACTCTCCAATCAATGGGACTTGCTCCTCCCAAAAGGTGCATTAAGATATCATGTCTTCTGCAGTATGCCTGCAGCAAAACACACCAACACCCCCAATGGCTAACAGTTCACAGTTAATGTTCTTTTCAGTTCAGAGGGACACAACAGCTAGGCTGCTTTAATAAAATGAGCGGGGGAAAGTTTGATTGCGTACAACATCAAATGGAGGAGAAAGGACTACTTGTGTGCTTCAGAAAGATACATACATATATATATATATATTCATAGTTTCCTCGGTACTCTTTGTAAATGCAGAATGTTTAAAAGCAAATAGCTTATTATGCTCAAGTCAGGCACAATGAAACATATCCATGGTAATGAAAGAATATGTCTCAAGTGGCTCCTTCTTTTCCCCTATTCCTCAGGAAATGGGAAGTACTTACCAGTGTCCAGCTTTTCTTCACTGTTCATCTCCATGACGACAAATTTCTCACAGACTGCGAATGTAGGCAGAGTAGAGGAGATGAACTGTCCAAACCTTGGTGGATAAAGGGAAGGGAAAAAATGGCACACTTGTGTGACAGATGGAGTTTAAATTTGTCCCTAATTAGCATTAGCTGCAGAGCAAAAAGTAATGTGAAGAAGCAATTATTTAAAAAAATGCAGATTCTGACATTTATAGAGACTGACTTAGGCTGCCTCAGCCTTAGATACGTAAAACAATGGCCAAACAAATAGGAAACTGGGTTACCCAGGATGACAAATACAGATGAAGATATTATAAGCAGAATACTTCTGAGAAAGGAGACCTCCAAATGGAACTGAAAAGGATCCTGGAAGGTAGAAAGGCTGTAGCCAGTGTAGAAATATTACTACCACTTCCCAAGATAAAGTCACATACAAAAAAACCCTGTACTTTAGGAAATGCTTATATTCTCCAGACCAGAAGAATCTGGCCCAGTTTTATGAAACAACTAGGAATTTTCTGGAAGGGAAATATAGGCTTCGATCACGCACACTAAATAATCCACTTTCAGTCCACTTTCAATGCACTTTCCAACTGGATTTTACTGTGTGAACTGGCAAAATCCAGTTGGAAAGTGCATTGGAAGTGGATTGGAAGTGGATTATTTAGTGTGTGTGATTGCAGCCAAAAACTCATAGGAAGGAAAATGTACTTGCCCAGAGAAAAATACACACACTCTTTTAAAAACAGAGCTTAGTGAAATTTGATGGTACCTGAGTAGGTCATTGCTGCTTGGGAAACCCTGAAGCAAATAGCTCAGCACATTGCTCATGGCAGCAATAGTTGGCTGTGACAAAGACATATCTCGGAGAGTCAGCAACAGTTTCGGGATCAGCTGGAATTCCCTCATCAATTTAGCATTCTTTGCTGCTTCACTGAAAGACAAACAGACAATTTAAGAACCTTTCACTCACCTTTGTAGCCTCTTTTTACTATGGTGTTTGTCAACAGCTATGGGTCTGTTCTGGAGAAGCATCTGCTACATCTAGGACCTGGGAATCCACATGACTGTGATCATAGGATGTAATCAGAATATAACCCCTAATGTGGAATCACATTTGGTTGAAGAAATTTTTAAAAACCCAAGTTTTTCCTTTCGTTTAGACTTCCCACACCACATGTTCACACTGCTTATGTAAATAAACACGGAGTTGTCAGCACAAATTGGCCCTACAATACATTTGCCGCTTGTACTGAACACTTCCTAGCTAAAAATGATCAGAAAGAGCCTTCCAACAGAGATGGACTGGGATTTCCTATTCAGAACAGTTCCCCTGAATTACAGTTTGTAGATAACTATTTCTTTCATCCATTCCAAGACTCTTTTTTGGAGCTCCTCCATCACCACAAACATAAAAAATTAAACTGTACAACAGGACTAAGCTTAAGCAACCAAATATTCATTCTCTAAGGTTGCTTACTACAAGACAAAGTTTTCATTATAAAATATTAGCAGAATTTATACAACATGGGACAGCTATTACCTGGATTCAGTTAGGAGTTCAATGAAATGTTCAAATAATGAAAGGTGAAGCTCATAAGGTGCGTGAAGCCAAACCTGAAATATAGAGTAGAAAGTTCATTTATCGTTGGCGTTCACTACTCATTTTAGCAGAGTTATTCTACCCATCATGATCACTGTCAGTTGCTGTTTTTGTACCGGGGACAACTAATCTTGCTGATTAACCGCAATACTATTTTTACATGCTTGCAACTTGTTGCTTTGTCAGCCACAATGAGTCCAAGAAGATACTGTAGTATATGAATATTTTAAAGAAATACTTTTAAAAAATTCATTGCAAAAAGGAAGTGGAGTATGAATGGTGCCATCATAACATTTTTTTTAATTTTTCTTTTATTAACAAAACACAAAAGCACAAGAGCAATAACATACAGAAAATCACGATACAAAACAGAAAACCGCCTTCTTTACAGCAAGTGGGGAACCAAACAGATACTCCCAACTTCCAATGTCCTAACACATTAACCATTCTTGCAATCCTCTAATCAGCAAACTACTTAAAGAGACAACTAAACCCGCTTCCCCCAATGGCGATTGCTCTATTGTACAACCTCCTGTGATGTGGGTTGACAGTCACCTAAAAGCGTATCCACGGAGCATCCTACAGCAGATGACCAAAAAATGGCAGGTTACTATAGATAACGAAAGCTCCAGTGTTCAATGCCAAAGAACATTTGAAGCATTCTTGAACAGGAGTTAAGCATACACAAGGATCTATGCTTTTCATTTTCCATTTATGTAAGAGATCAGTGTGGTAACGTATGGGGGGGAGGGACACCATATGAAGACTAAACGACAGCGTGTACCACATTCCATTCAGCAATACTGTATTGTTTAAAACACCGCCCTTGCCTCCCTATCCATCATATATGAATTGCATTTGTGCTACTGGAACGTTACTGAACAATGAGAAAAGGTTTGTATCGTGATTGAGGGAGAGACAATAACTGCAAAAAAAAATTAAATCTAGTTGTCGAAGAAACAGGCAGCAGATAGGCAGTAATAGGAAAATGTTCACAGAAACAAGCTCTCTGCTCTCTGGACATTATCGACCTTTGTTTCCTGCTCCTGTTGGGAGAGGAAGCTCTTGTGCGTGGCCTAGCCGTTTCTCATCTCAATTACTGCGGCCTCCCCTTTGCAGCTCTTCTTCTGTCAGCCTTCCGCTGCCAAAATAATATCTCTTTCTGTTCTGTTGCTATGATCACGTTGCACACCACTTCCAGCCTCAGCAGCGGTGGGGAAAGCTACAGCAAATCGACCTCATAATCAAAAGTCCTTTCATTTATACCTCCCCCCCTTTCTCCGCTTCAGACTTATCTCGATTCACCTGTCCAATCATTCCTCAGCCTCTCCACTTCATTTAAGGTAGTCTGCTGCTGACACCTTCTCCTCCCCCCACACACCCCTCAGTTCCTGCTTCTTACCTTCAACGATATTTTTTGGTATATGAACTAAACTCAACAACCTCTTTCCTTGACCTCCAGATCCAAACTCTCTTTCATGCTTTAAAGTTCTCCACAAAAACAACCTTCTGGTGGATCGCCGCAGTCTAATGACTCTGTGCTGCTCCCTATCGTTTAACCCTGTCAAGTCAAACCTTCTTTTTGTCTACTACCTTGGTTCCGTATTGGTTTTAACTGTTCTTCCAAGTGCATGGGGCTTCCACTCAAATGCAGGAGTGGGAAACTAGAGTTTTCCATGCCACCGCATTTGAGTCAACCTTACAAAGTAAGTATTTATGAGGCAGGCGCCCAAGCCCCTCCACTCTCACTTTCCCAACCACCAGGCATCTATTGTCTTTGTGGCTACGTTCTATGCACTTGGGAGGGTGGTGGGGCAGGTGAAGACTGACAGCTGTCAGAGCACTGCAATCAACCTTATAATGATGACTTAAGGGATGTCAGGTAGAGTTTCAGCTCATGTACTACTAGCCAGTTCTAGCTGAAGAAGAACCTTCAAGGAATCCACTTGTGCACCAAAAGGTCTGAAGAGTGTGCTGTCATTTATTTTCACTTGATTTAGCTTCTAGGCCACCCTCCCCCACCAGCAGGCTCAGGGCAGGGTACAACAATATATATGCAATATAATACCAACCAAATAAAACATAAAATTCAGTATCTCAATTTACACTACACTATAGTCCACTATCGACAGCACCAATAATACATATACTACTGGGCTCCCTATGTGTGTGCAAGTAGATGTAACTAAAGCTGAGGGGGGTGGGCAGACGAGACACAATGTCCCCTCTAAGCTGTGGAGTCTTGTGAGCAAAAATTCGACTTTGTGAGGTACTGGCATCAAAGTTGTGAGCGAGTGATTTGGCTGCTGCATAAATCAGTTTGCTTTGGAGCCATCCTATCTGAGCAAAGACAAAAATGTGTGAGCCGGAGGCTAAAAAACTGTGAGCTAGCTCACACTAACTCAGCTTAGAGGGAACACTGGATGAGATCAGTGCCAGATGGAAACAATGTGGATAGAATAAAGCAGAGCAGAGCAGGGGGAAGCCAATTCAGTTTGGGTTCCTGTTGCCTCAACCATAGGCCTGGCAGAACATCTGCATTTTACAGGTGCTGCAGAACTGCACTAAGTCCCACAGGGCCCGGATCTCACTCAGGAGACTGTTCCACCAGGCCAGGGCCAGAGCTGAGAAAGCTCTGGCCCTGGTTGAGGCTAGCTTGAATTCCTTCAGACCAGGGATCACCAGTAGATGTTGATCTGTAGAGCGTAATGCTCTTTGGGGGACATATTGGGAAAGACGGTCCTGATGGTATGTTGGTTCCAGACCAACACTGAGATGGCAACAGAACTTCCTTCTAAAATCCACACCAATTTTTAACATCAAACACAGTATTTTCTGCGTTATGATGGCACCTTCTTCATCTCACCACAGAAACAATTTTATTTTTTATTTTGTCTATACTTTCATTTACTCTGTTTATTTCTACTATATCCCATCTTACTCCCCAAAGTGGCTTACATTATTCTCCTCTCCTCCATCTTATCCTCAAAACCCTGTGAGGTAAGGTTTGTCTGAAAGTGTGGATCTGGCCCAAGATCACCCAGCAAGCTTCTATGGCAGAGAGTGGGGATTCGAACCTGTCTCTCCCTGATCAGAATCAGACACTAATCACTACACCAGGCTGGTTCAATAAATACAATACGTCTCCTGGAGGAAGTCTATTTATACTAAAACTGGCTCAAGGTTGATCCTATATTATTCCAAGCACTCTTCCTAATTTTGCCTGTTTAGTTCAAAACCTTTAAGGCCCTAAACCGCCTGGGACCAATGTATCTATGGGATCAATTCTCCTGGTATATTCCCCCAAAGACCATTACACTCAAGGGAGAAGAACTTACTGGTGATCCATGGCCCCGAAAAGTATCCAGCTGCCCTCGACAACAGCCAGGGCTTTTTTGGCCCTGGCTCGGACCTGGTGGGGCCTAATGCAATTCCGCAGGGCCTGTAAGACAGAGATGTTCTGCCAGGCCCATGGTTGAGGACAGCAACGATCTCCATCTAGCCTGGCTTCTTCCTTCCTTCTTCCCCCACGGGGCAAGGACACAAGTTATTGCACCTTTTATGTGCCATCTGTAAACTGTTACTGAATTGTTTCAATTTCAATTCAATTTCAATTTATTACAGGTCTATATGACGGAAGTCTTGACCAAGAGGATACAAAAGGGGAATAAAATAGGTACATAAAATAGACGTAACATGTGTCAAGGTACATAATCACAGTCACATAAAGCCCAGAGATTCGAAATTACCTAACTACACTTGGGGCAGAGCCAACTGACTAAAATCATCCGAAGATTAAAAGTCGTGGTTTTCAGAAGTGCTGAAATTTTCAATGTTTTTTGAGAGCAGCCACCTTTGCCAGGAACCGCGCCACGTTAGCTGTTATCAGTCCATCGGCATTTGAGTCAGATAACAGTACTGAAAGCACCCAAGGTTGCGCGGGAAGATTCATCTTCGTAAGAATAGGAAAGATATAAGTACTGAATTGTTTAAGGTGCTTTGTTTTAATTTGACTGTGAATGTTGTTTATTTGGAAGTGTTGTTCCCCATAAATAAGTTAACACAAGCGTTAGCCTTCACAAAACCAAGCTTCATGGGGAGGAAAAACAGTGCAATATATTTTAATAGGGGCTACACTGCAATCAGTCAACGATGCTTGGTTGATTAGTGGCTCTCTGCCATACAGCCACGCAGTGGCACAATATGGGGCATGAGACTCTCCAGTCACCTCCTTCAGTGGTGCGCTTCCTGCTTCAGAAAGTACAGTTGCCCTGGGTTTGCTAATGATCCTAATAATTACTAGCTTCAGAGATATGCCTTACGTACCTCAAAGTCACAAAGGAGGTCCTGGAAGGCAGTTGAATTTGGAATAATGGACGTTTCGTGCCCACTGTCAACAGTCCCGACCAAGGAAAAGGTCAGATGAAGAATGTGGCTATTCAGAAGGCAGCGTTTCTTCTTTAGCAGCATTGCCAGTAACTGAAATAAAATGGAAGCAGCACACAATATTGTCTTTTATAATTCTTAAAGCATTTTGAAGAACAAAAAAAAAAAAATCAATTTCACCCAAGCACAATGAAAAGAAGCAGACAGACAGATGTGCTTTCCTAAAAGAACATGTTCCTTTATGCCAATAATATCAAGAGTTACACTGGAAAAGCAGACCGAGATGAAGCTGATGTTAACCCCCAAATAGCAGGCAATCTGAACGGATGTCTTCTGCTAGCAACTAATACCGCACTGAATCCGTACACATCAAAGAAAAAAAAAATATTTCAGTGCATTGAATGAAAAGAAACACAACAGTAAGAACCTTTTACAAATTTAATCTTTGATCATTCAGGCAGATAGAATACGAGCCCAGATGAGCAACAGCTGTATCTTTAGAAGACAATTGCTCAACATTAGATTTAGAACATTTTTTTGGAACAGCTGTTTGGAGGGAAGCAATTTCTGTATCGCATAAAAGTGCACTTGTGAATCCTGCCTCTATGCTGAAACATGCGCCTTGTCTAGTTCTGTCTTAAAGGTTTTCAGACGGCATACATATTTGATGCCTACTGGAAGCAATCTGGAGAAAACCAATGCCACCTCTCTTAATGCTGGCCAAGTGTTCTGCTATTTTTTAAACTGGTATATGGGACTCATATGAGCCATATCTACTCAGAAGCCAGCGGACACAAAATGGCTCATTCTAAATCGTATTTGACATTTATTGTTGGACCACTGTACAACAGGTACACACACGATAGGCCCGTTGGCAAGCTTATAAGAAGGGGCTCATCCCGCATGCACTATATACCTTTTTCTAAGACTGCAACTCAACCTCATTTCAGAGATACATCCCTTCCATTCGCCCAAAACCAAACCATGTGTTGTTTTTAATCAATAAACCTTTAATGGCGTATACATCCTTAAAAATCAAAGACAGAAAATGACACAATCAACTAAAAGTCTAGGTTAATTATAAAATCATGAAACGGACTTTCCCAAATTTTTCACTCTCATCATGTCAACTAAAAAATTGGCCACTGCCACAGTAATCTCTGCTGTTACATCGTTCAATAGAAATTGGCATTTTATTTCATTGGAAAGGTGATGTTTACCATGCAACCAAGTGTTTAACCATTTTTCCCTAGCAGATGCATGCCACGAACAGTCTAACAATATGTGATCAATTGAATCAAGAGAGTTAGAACCGCAGTCACATCTCCGTTCATGCTTAGGAATATTTTGAAACCTACCATACAGTAGTTTTGATGGAAAGGCATTTACTCGAGCAAGAGAAAACGCTCTTCGGTGGCTAGGGCTATCAAGATTATACAAATACAGGGGGATACATCCCACAACATTCTTAAGACTTAATGTAGCTGAAGAACAGACAGGGGGATGAAGGGGCTGCAGTTTTTGAAGTTCAATATCTACCAGCCTCTGTTTGATTGTTTGGAAGATATACACTTCAGAGGAGAAAGCTAGCTCCTCCAAGGAACCATGGGTTGTTGTTTTTTCAAGACAACACAAATAATCAGCCTCGCTGCTGGCTTCAAATGCCCTTCAATAGACACCCGTGGTGCAGTGTCCTTGATTATATTAATAATAGAAACTCCTCGTGATTTCTCCCAGGTGCCCTTCCTCTTATTTGGCAGCTGATAAGAGTCTCTGCTGAGCTAGCAGGTGTCAGAGATCTAGAGTGATGACCATCTTATAGGGTAAAACCACAATAACTTCCTTCTTTGGCTGCGTAAGCTGTTACTAACGAAAAAAATACATTACAGTACCAAGAATTTTTTTAAAAGCTTTCAACTGATTTTTTTTTTTAAAGAAGAGGTGTAATGAATATTTACTGTGTGACAATAGATTCGGGTGGGTAGCCGTGTTGGTCTGAAGCAACAGAACAAAGTTGGAGTCCGGCGGCACCTTTAAGACCAACAAAGTTTAATTTGGGGTGTAAGCTTTCATGCGTGTGCATGCACACGGAAGCTTGTATCCAGAATAAAACATTGGCTGCGGTCACACGGAGCATTAGCCACGCTACAGAGATGGAAGATAGGCAGATTTTTCCGGGCGCGATCAAACCACAACATCTGGGAAGCGTAGAGCTCCCGTGGCTAACCCGAGGCTTCCCGCCGAAGATGCGCCATAAAAAACTAGTATCTCCAAGGGACTAGTTTTCTGAAACTGCGGGGCAAGGGCGGGCATCTGATCATGTTTCTGGTGGCAGCTCGTGACATCCGGCACCCGCCCAAGTCCTGTCACGAAAAGCTTTTTTCCCCCCCAAGTCTCCACGGGATGCGCACAAGCACCCAACGGCACATGCACACACTTCGGTTTAAAAAAACACAACCCCCGCCGCACCGCTTCTTTGCTGCGCCGCAGGATTGACATATGATCGGCACCTCCCCCCGAAGCACGGGACGTCAGTGGGACGTTTGATCTGGCGGCTGCGCGGTAGTTCGCTCCGGGGCAAACAGCCACACCCCCCCCCCGGCCCGTGTGACCGGGGCCTTTGTTGGTCTTAGAGGTGCCGCCGGACTCAAACTTTGTTCTACTTTGTGACAAGTATCAGTATCTGAACTGTGAAGTCACAAAAGAACGCAAGGTTACACAAGCAGCTGTGTCCACCTTCTCACCTACCTGATAACCTTTGATTCTCTCCATTTCTTTGCTAGCCAGGGGGTTGCTCTTGACAACACACACAAGCGCCTTCACAGCAGCATAGAGTCCCTCGACATCTGAGGCCATGGCTACCAGACCCAGAATGGCAGCCGCTCCACCTATGTACTGTAATGTAGTGGCGACAGGCTTAGGGACAAACGTTCTTACTCCTGAACATAAGATGGCAAAAATAAACTCATCAAAATTAGCTCGATTAAAGAACGATGGTAGAACCAGCAATAACTTTTTACAATAAATTCCAAAGGATTTTCCCGTTTCCCTTGACTCTCCCCCAGTGAGCAGAAGGACTGGAGTCTGTTTCCCCAGGGAAGGCCCTTCTACGCTGCTTTTGGAGCTGTGGGCGTTTCGGAAACTGTGCTCCGTGCCGGACCAAAGCCCACTAGTATGACGCACAGAGACCATGAAGAAGGAAAACTGATTTATCTGTAGAAACAGTAAAGCCACTACGGCTGGGGGTGGGGAGATCAATAATCCTAGTACATTTTACTTTCAAGAGAGAATCAGGGAGCACTTGTTTTGTGATCAAATGCAAATAAGAAAATGAAGCTCTTTAGTTAAAAGGTGTTAAATCCCCCCCACCCATTAATCTTCGTCTTAAGACAGTGCCCTTCAGGCATAACATTATCCCACGTAAGAGATTTGAGGAAACAATATTTTTACCACTAACACTGAACAATCCTCATGCGGTTAATTCAGCAAAGCAACAGGAGGGGGGGGAACATGAAAGACCACCTCCACACACCTTCAATGCTGTGGAAAAGCCATGTTTATAATTTTCACAGTCTACTATCCCAGGCCACACATCACCAAGATCGTTCTATGCAGAGCTATTTTGGGGCAGGAACGCACAGGAACGGAGTTCCGGCTGGCTCCCGAGTTGGCCACGCCCAGCAGGAACTCATTAGCATAATAGGCCACACCCAACAGCAGAAACTCATTAGGATTGGCTACATTATGGGTGTGTGGCCTAACATGCAAAGGAGTTCCTGCTACAAAAAAAGCCCTGGGTTTTGACGACAAACAAGGTAAACAGAATAAGAAGCAAAAGGTGGGTGTGGCTGGATGACCACACTTCTGGTAACATGGGGGTGCGGCTTAATGTGCTAATGAGCTGTGCTGTCAGGGGTGTGGCCTAATATGCTAATGAGTTTCTGCTGTTGGGTGTGGCCTATTATGCTAATGAGTTCCTGCTGGGCTTTTTCTACAAAAAGAGCCCTGCAGTATGTACACCTTACCAGAAGCCAGAGATAAAGGATACACAAAACTGGCTTCCTGAGGCAGGAACTACCAAAGCTGGTAAGAACTGTGTGCTTCTAGGAGCAAACTGCATGCTACAACTGGCACTAGTTAAGCATGCTTTCTAATGGATACCTCATGACAACCAGTGCGGGCAACAGTGTTGCCGATTTTTTGTACTGCCAATGCCACAAGGTAAAATACATGATGGAAAGCCACGTTTAACACACTGCCCACATTAAGGAACATCAGGGAATTTTCCAGTCAATGTGCTAAAGTGTTCATCCACTCAGATTGGATGAGGGCATATCTATCAAGACAACCCTGACTGTAAGATGACCCCCTTAAAAATATTACACGCAAAAACATTATTATTATTGGACATAACTGTGACATGTATGTGAATGTAAGACAATGCCCTCTTTTATGGCATTTATGTGAAAAAATCTAGTCTTGCGTTTAAGTAAATCCTGTATATATAAGAATACTGTAGGCTTGCATCTGAACTCTAGAGCATGGCTAATACTGAGGACCTCCTAGCACTGTGCACCACTATGGGTCACGGAAAAGAAATAAGTGGAAGAGGCGCAGTTCATCTCACCCAAGTATCCGATCAGAGATGCGCCAATGGTACGCGCGGATCCATTCAGATGTCCTCCTGAATTATGCAGCAGTTTCACTGGAGTGGCATTCTCATGAGATGAAACAGCCAACTAATTAAAGCCAAAAAGAAATATTGATCCATTGGATAATGTTTATTCAGAAATAACAGGATATATCCAACCCATCCATGGAGTTTGTGGGGCAATACTCCACTTCGTTGCCCCGCTGCACCACACTGAGCCCCCCCCCCCATTTTGTTTCTGGGCCCTCAAGAACAGCACAGGAGGTGAAGTGGGGGCCTGCAGTGGGAGGAGGGAACTGACAAAAATTGCCACTCCATCTTCGGACAGGATGGCATTCCCAATTGCAGGCAAACTGCATGGCTGGATACATCCCACTGTGCTCAGTGCATTTTCATAGAGGCAGAATAATGCTCAGTCTCAGCAGAAGGGACACTGGGCCAGCTTTGAAAGAAAAGATGGCAGCCAATGGCACATCTCTTAGGGCGGAAGAGAATACAAGCACTTTTCCTAGACGTTTTTAACAACATGTTAATAGATACAGTATAACTCCTCCATATTCAGAGAAGTTAGGTTATGTCTGTGGTGCCTTCTAGGCCCTGTAATCTCAAACTTGACAAATCTATGGAATAAGCCATGTCTGCGATGAACCCCACAGTTCTATTAATGCCAGGGATCTCCTGCAGTTCTTCAAATCTTAATAAGAACTGTGCTCCTTCTAAGTCTTCACTTAGCACAACAATGAGTGCCACAAGTTAATAGTCCATTGCTGTCCATTTGTGAGGGTTTTCTGTTGCCACTTCCTTGCTTGGAAGAGGAGGAGGAGGAGGAGGAGGAGACTGGACTTATACCCCGCCCTTCACTACCCAAAGGAGTCTCAGAGCGGCTTACAATCTCCTCTCCCTTCCCCTCCCCACAACAGACACTCTGTGAGGTTGGTGGGGCTGAGAGAACTCTTTCGAGAACTGCCCTTGAGAGAACAGCTCTGAGAGAACTTATGACTGGCCCAACGTCACACCAGCAGCTGCATGTGGAGGAGTGGGGAATCAAACCCGGTTCTCCCCGTTTAGAGTCTGCACTCCAAACCACTACACCAAACTGGTTCTCCGATAGCCTCCTAGAGGATATCAGGAGATCTACTGACCTGAACCTGAGAGAAACTGGAGGAAGAAAGGGCATCCCGGTGGCCGTGGTGCTCTCATTTGTTCACTGGCCCTCCTCTGCACTGCTCCGGCTGCCCTCCCTTCTCGGGGCTACTGATCCTCTGCCTGCCCAACCGATGGCCCTCCCTCCACACTGCTGCTCCGCCCATCCCAACGTAACACGGTCAGCGTTCCTCTCTTCTGGGGGATTTAAACCTCTTCCCTCCATTGTTTGTAACTTTCCAGATTTTTCTGCCCACCCGAGGGTCCCCAAAGGGGAGAAAAACACAACCTGTACCAATCAGGTACAACTGATTCTCCCCTAATTGTACCTGAGCACTCCATTGGAGCTTTGAGCATTGCAGATTGGGCCTAAGAAGATTCATGGGCAAATGAAATGCTGCACATCCTGATGAGCTGCCCGTGTTGCATTTCAAGAATATTTATCACACTCCACGGGTGAACGGATTTTTATGTATATTTTTGTTAAATGTATGGAGTGCTCAGTTTGAATTTTGCCACTGAAGAAGGCTTTTGGCCGAAACACATTTGTTATTGGTTCTTGTATATGAATATAATTTGTATATTTTATCCTGTATTTATATTATTGGACATTTGTCTTTATATTAGGATTAGGTACTTATATGCAAAACCATAGGGTTGTGGTTTTTAATGATATTTTAGCACTTTAGAATGTGTAATTAAATTACATATGACATTCTGTACATTAGCACTGTGTGTGTAGCTATATTTCAGTTTCTTTTTCTTTGTCTCAAACGTTTTGGTTACCTTTCTGTGTACATGGCCCCAGTCTGCAGAGTTAAATATCTGCAGATGGGGCCATGTTGACTAGCAGATGTATTGATTACTCTTTTGCAATTTCAAAGGGCCCCTTTATCTATTTTCTTTTCATCTGAAGATACACAGCTGTCCCACCCTTTCATTTTACTGTATTTTGATGCTAACTCAGCCCAGGAACTTGAGGGAAGAGACAAGATTACCTTCTTAACTTAAACTTCTGAAAATGGCACACAAGAGGCTTTAACATTCTACAGTAAACAAGATATTTATTCAACGTAGAGGGGAGGTCAGGTGAAATCAGGGGTAAAATGTCTGAGGTAAATCAAATATAATTCTGCGGTGACTTATTCTAATCACAAACTCCAGGTGATGTATTTCCAGCAAGTGAGAGTTCTTAAGCTTTTGATGAAGTCTTAGAATCTTAGAGATGAGAGGCTTTGGTTTCAGTGGTTCCTAACCACTCAAGTTCACTTTCTTGAGTTTAACTGACTCTTCAGGTTTCAGAAGGTAGAGATACATTACCAAGTACCCAAATTCCTTCTCTAAACACACCAGGGATCACTCCACTCTTCGAGCTATCTCCCTTTCCAACTAGGCAGGGAATCACTTCTCTAACTAGGAGATCTATCCCTTTTTCTGGCCCAAATGGCGGTCTTCACTGATCCTCCCACTCCTCCTTGCCAACCTTCCCAGTCCTCAGTCAGAGCTAAACTGTTCCATTTCTCAATCAGAGCCTAAACTGAGTTCTCTTCAGCAGTCAGTTCCCAAGTCTTTCTGCTCAACTGATGGTAACCAATCAAATCCCTTTGAACAGCCTGTCACTCAAGGCTCTCTGGGTCTTTGAGGCATTAACCCTTCACAGACCTTCACATATTTACACAGCATTTATGAGTTTTTACAGCACAGTCTTGTCAGAACAGGTTATTTATATTACATGGAATTATGTGGTTACTTCCTATACCTATAGTGGACCCAGCTGAAGAAGATGGCAAACTAGATAGAGGAAAAGCTGGTAAGATACAGACTAACAAAAAAGAAAAGACTGTTCTGCAGATAATGGGACCCCCTGAAGGCTAAGCCACACAGGATGAGAAGGAAAGAGGAGGAGAAGAGATCAAGTGGTATAGTCAGTCATATCCAACCTACTGTATATTTAAGAGTACATTTGAGTAACTACTGTATATTTAAGAGTATACACAACTTAGAAACAAGCTCCTAATGATTACTCAGTACTTTAAACTGAATGTAAAAAAAGAAAAATTACAATATCAAAACTGCAGTCTCCATCCAGCAGTCTCAGTCCATCTACAAATTCCACTATATGCTCTATTTCCAGCATGAGCTGACTTCACCATACATTCCTGAGCACTTCCACCACTGAAATAAAGCCCCCCAAATGTGAGGCTTTCTGAAAGCCACCACAGCTATGTAGAGGGACAGTTTTTGAATTAATACCATAAAATGAGCCAGGTGCTTAGAAGCATGACCAACATGCATTTTCAAGCTTACCTGTTTGGCAATGGCCTTGCTGTCCAGTTTATTATAAACTTTCCTAATCCTTGCCACAGTCAGTGAGGAAACGGAGAGTGCATAGAGACCGAAAGAGACTTTTTCCTCCGGTACCAAAGATACTGGACAGGGACTGATGCCTTCTGGCTTGGAATCTTTACCTGCAGAGTAAGAAACATTTTATGAGCAAATGCACTGCAATGATTAAGTGCGTGAGCTGTGACCTAGGCAGCCTCTAGTTCAAAGTTCATCTCAGCATAAGTAATCAGCTTGCTTGAGCAAGACTCCATTTTTCAGTCTCAAAGCTGTATCTGCAATATGGGCATTAAGAAGCTCCACCTTTACAGGTTTGTTATAAATATTACCAAGTAATGTATGTGAAATGCTCTGTACAATACACATAAACGTACATACAGAGTTGCTTTATACTGAACCAGACCCTTGGTCCATTAAGGTCAGTACTGTCTACTCAAGCTGACAGTGGCTTTCCAGGGTCTCAGGAGGTGGCCTTTCACATCACCTACTGTCTGGTCCTTTTAACGGGAAATGCTGGGGAATTGAACCTGGGACCTTCTGCATGCCAAGCAGATGCTCTACCACTGAGCCGTGACCCCTTCCCAAATGCTAACACCATCATTATGCATTTGTAAAAATGTCATTCAAATGAACTATAGAAATTCTATCACCAGTACAGTATTTCCTGAAGACAATTTTTACTTTCTAAAACTTCAGAGATTGGGGTGCTTTTTGTTGGGGGGGGGGTTTTTTGGCTAACACCACAAAGCTAGTTATTTTCCCATTTAAAGTCTTAACATGGCTCATTTTAAAAGTGCTATGACAGTACATGGACGCTGCAGTGAGCTGCATGCAGATTTTTTCTATGGAGTATATTTAGATCCCAGCCTTCTTCCAAGGGGTTCATAGAGTACATATAATTATTCTCCCTTCCCCATTATATATTTTCACAACTACCTTGTGACGTAGGCTAGGCCAAAAGAATATAAGACTGGCTCAAGGATACCCAGTGAGCTTTATGTACCCAAGTCTCCTATCTCCTAGCCTGGCATCCTAACCACTGCACGACACTGACCTCTCACAGTTCACTTTTAATTAGTGGATCCACTGACTTGCCAAGATGGACAACCCAGTTCTCGCACTCCAGAAACTCACATGACACTGAGAGCTGGGCTAAGAAATGCATTCATCCAGATTGGTATCTGACGAAGGGAGCTTTGCCTCCCAGAAGCGCACACCCTGAGAATCTTGCCAGTCTTTAAGCTGTTACTGGACTCAGATCTAGATCTTCTACCGCAGAACAGCACAGCTACCCTCCAGAAACTATCTTTGTCCAGAACGTATCAGATCTCTGGATGCCACCAAGACAGTATTTACAGACTCCCAAGTCACAACGGGGACAGTAATGTGGAACAGTAACAGGAACATCAATGCTTTAATGCTTTGACAATGAGCCCTCTCCTTCCCAAAATGCTGCATCCACAACTCATTATTAAAGAAATTAGCTGAACACCAGATACGTACGAACAACTCATTATTAAAGAAATTAGCTGAAAAGCTAGCCCTGATAACACCAGATACGTACAAAAGGATTAGTTTTACTTACATGGTATATATACTGCTTGAAAACTTCCAACATAGTTTGGCCCCAGTTCATAAATTGTGCTAATGCTTGAGGGAGGCAGCACTTCTTCCAGGAAATGAGTTGGCCCCAACCGCCAAACCAAAGAGGACAGCTGGCGCTGGGCAGGTGGCGTGCCCATATAGGCATAGACTGTGCTAACTACTGGTGGATTGGCACAACTCGAACCGCCGGGGCTACTGTGAATATAGTGAAGCTGTAAAAAAGAAAAGAAAAGGAGGGCGGGCTCAGAAATGTCCACTTCCTCATAAACATATTAACATCTTACCACTCCTGCAAGATGACCAAGTCATCTTGGTGGCCCTTACGAGGGCAGGGAGCTGGGGTATACATTTTGCAAAATAAATAACATTAATAAAACTCATCCTACAAAACACAAATTGAAGCTTGCCTGTGACGAGACCATGTCTTGCAGATGGCAAGGTGTGTGGTGATAACACAACTCCTCCAAAACACAGCTCCTCAATGGAACAGGTACAACATAAAGCCCATTTAGATACTACCGTGCACTAAAAATGGAAATCACAGACCAATTATCATCCGGGGACGATTTCAAGGTATGTTCTGATCATCCCATCCAAATAATGCACAGTGCAGAACTTGAACAGAACCAGAACCTTGAAGAACTGAGGCAAGTCACTGTCTCAGCTGGGTAAGCTGGATAGCCATTTGCCAAAGATAACAGCCCTAACAGTTTTATGCTGGGAAAGATATATCTGCAAACATAAAACATTAAAAAAAAAGGATGAAAGCAAGATGCGGCTTACACTTTGCTGTATTTTTGTTTGTTCCCTTGAGTTCTTACAGATCAGTCTTTGGAGTTTTTTCTCCAAAAATAAGTTTTCACCAATATACTTTATGAAAAAGCACTATATACTATGAACACACACAAGGCGATCAACAGTTCAATAAGGCTTTGCTAGGTTTTGTTTAATAATGATAATGCCTAGTATCCAAACACCAACTTTAACCTTCCAGGGCATTCACTTGCTGACCTAAGAGGAACAGTTCTTTTACAAAAGAATTACAAAAGGGAGATTAGAAAGAGAGATGGCTGAATTGCAACTCGTAATGAAGCTCAAGACAATGCATCCTCCTGGACTGAATCGAAACCTAGGTTTCCTGTCTCATTACCAAAGCTGATTTCTCCACGCCTACTACCCCTCTGCATATCACACCTAATCTAATCACGCCTGCTATTGTCATTCATCTGCTATGGCCATTTGGCATCTGAAACCACTCCAATCTCCAAGTTTCCAGGGCATTCACTTGCTGACCTAAGAGGAACAGTTCTTTTACAAAAGAATTACAAAAGGGAGATTAGAAAGAGAGATGGCTGAATTGCAACTCGTAATGAAGCTCAAGACAATGCATCCTCCTGGACTGAATCGAAACCTAGGTTTCCTGTCTCATTACCAAAGCTGATTTCTCCACGCCTACTACCCCTCTGCATATCACACCTAATCTAATCACGCCTGCTATTGTCATTCATCTGCTATGGCCATTTGGCATCTGAAACCACTCCAATCTCCAAGTTATAAAGACAAATGGACTCACATTCTAGCTGTATCTGAAGAAGTGAGCAGTGACTCATGAAAGCTCATCCCCTGCCACAAATTTTTATAGTCCTTAAGGTGCTACTGGACTCTTGCTCTTTTCTACAGCCACTTGGGCATGGTCAGTGAGCCTTTGGATTGTCTTCTCCTTTAAACAGCAAACTCTCACTCCACCTCCAAACAACTCTCCACCATTTAAAAAATTATTTACGACATGGCATGGTGGGTTAATGTTTCAGAAACATGAGCCAAAAGCCCCTTTCAACAAAGTGGTTCTTTGGCTCTTGGCCACAATAATTATTAAACAAATGGGAGATTTGAGAAGCTCAATGGAGAAAAGCATGGGGCAATCTCTGCCCACTCAGGTTGTCTTGTCCACCTTGTCTGTTTCAGCACAAAACCAAAGTGGCAAGTGAAAGTGAAAATTTAGCACAACAGCAAAGGGAAATGCAAACAGTTTTGTATTTCTAATCCAAAAAGGGAAAACACTGCAGATTACCTATATAGAGGTTTTCCCCCCTAAGTACAAGCTTTTAAGTACAACTCGGAAGAAAAGCTCCCTTCTAAAGGTACTTATATTTTACACTGTTCAATACGTTAGAGGCCACATCTGCTGTCTCCCATTACAGGAGTACTGACCCCCTCCCAGCCACCCGTCCCTCACAACTAGCCTCTTGCCTTAAAGAGATGCAGTGCTGCAATTTCACAGAAAAGCCAAGTGGTCCCATTTATAAATATCGGAGCTTTGGTAACCGAACAATAGAGGCTTTTGAGGGCACAGAGCACTCAACTGAAAACCCGGCAGCAGCAGGATATGGAAAAGGAAAACAGGTTTTGAATTCTTCCTTTATCTCAGTATTTAAGACTCTACTGGACTTTTTAAAAAAAGAAAGAAAGGTGGCTTGTACGGCTCGAGTTTATTTTTGACTCTGCTTTTCTACAAAGAGTTTTTTTCTTTACCTCCCTGCACAAATAAGCCCTGAAGCCAACCTGCTCCCTCCCACAGCAGCAAACCATTTATTAACATAAACCTGTGAAAATAAAGCAGCGTACAACAAGATACTTTGCAGAAGTATTTGCTTCATAAATAAATAGCACAGGACTTTATTCTTTGCAAGACTTTTGCTGTAAAAACAGAATATTCTCTAGCCACTGGGGCAATTCAGATGAAAGGTGGTCAGCTCCAACCAACTACTATTACGTATTTCGAGGTAATGTATTCCAAAAGGGTTGCACAGAACTGCATACACCTGAAAGCTGATAGCTTGAATAAAACTTTGTTGGTCTTAAAGATGCCACTGGCCTCAAACTTTGTTTTCCTGATGCACGTTAGATAAGACTAGGTGGATAGGCCTTTAACAAGCTAGAAAACCGCTACCACAGAACCCTTTTTTCCATACAGAGAGTTCTGACAGGAGATGCAATAACCCTGTTTTGAACTCCAATCAGAGACTCTGTAGGGACTTGCGTCGGGCTTTGGTCAGTCATAGAACCATAGAATTACAGAGTTGGAAGGGACCGCCAGGGTCATCTAGTCCAACCCCTTGCACAATGCAGGAAATTCACAAATACCTCCCCCTCCACACCCCCAGTGACTGCTGTTCCATGCCCAGAAGATGACAAAAAAAGCCCTCCAGGATCTCCAGCCAAACTGGCCTGAAGAAAAATTGCTTCCTGACCCCAAAGTGGCAATCAGCATTTGCTGGGCGTGTAACAAAGGGCCACAAGAACTAAGCACTGATGCAACCCCTCCTGCCCTCCCTCTCATGATCTGCTTAAGCTCACAGAATCAGCATTGCTGACAGACAGATGGCCATCTAGCCTCTGTTTGAAAACCTACAAAGAAGGAGAGCCCGCCACCTCCCAAGGAAGCCTGTTCCACTGACAGAGATCCTGGAGGGTCCGTTCCCCCCCCCCTTTCTGTGCATAAAGCAGCGGTCACTGGGGGTGTGGAGGGAGGTATTTGTGGATTTCCGGCATTGTGCAGGGGGTTGATTTAGATGACCCTGGAGGTCCCTTCCAACTCTATGATTCTATGATTCGACGAGCCATGCTCAACTTCCTGAAGCACCTCTCCTAGCAGAAAGTTGGAGGAAACCCCAAACCCTCTCTGAATCACCGCAAAACAGCCTGAAGCAGGATGAAACAGTTGCACTCTGTCCTCCAGACATCCCTGGCACCCACAGGAGCTGAACACAGGTAAGCCGGGGAGCATTAACTACACCTTTGCAGCTCACTCGGTTATAAAAGCAGCCGTGGTGACCAGCAACAGCCCCCAATCACCACCTGCTCCTCTTCTTCTGCAAGGCAGCAGTGATGGTGGTATAGGTAGGCCCCCTTTTGGTGCATATGCACCTGATATCTGACAGGAGAAAGAAGAACTACCCACTACACTGCGCATTAAAGAAGGTGGAGTGTCCAATCCTTTGGGGGCAGGAGTGTGTGGCAATTCTACCATGTCTCTTGCCGTCTGGGGAAACAGGGCAAACAATAATGTGTGCAGCCCACTAGGGCACAGCAGCAAGGCAGCAATGGGCATCGTAGGACTGTAGGGCCCTGACAGCCACCTGACCTCGCCAAGCCCCGACACTGACCCCGAGAGTGCTCACTTCAGCCCTCTGCTTTGATACAATAAACTGGGAAGATATGGATGGGATGGAGTATGAGGTTTCCTTCCTCAGTGCAGGGGTTAGACCTAAAATGGCACAGACTGGTGAATCAAAGGAGCACAGCCTTCTTACACAGGGTCACCTAAGTGGTTTTGCAGTGATGGTAATTCTGCAGCCCAGCTTGGAGAGACGCCCCCACTTTCCAGGAACACTGCACCGTCAGCTGGAAGCCATCGTGTGAACACACTTAAAGCAACTACTGGACACTCTGGATTTGTATTAGCCCCAAACCTTGACAAGCTGCGAAATATTGATTCTCCGCTCCATCCTTGCCTGGAGCAGGAACTTCCATGCTGTGCAGAGCAGCAGCAGCCTTTCCATGACGGAACAATTCAGCTGAGAAACAAATGGTGCCACCTTCACCTCGCATACAAAACAATACAAGCATAAAAATTTACACTATTTTGCGAAGTTAACAATGCACAGTGCGCGCACTGTGGGTGCTCTAATATCTCAGTAAGTTAAAAATATTCAGCGTACCTTGACTGTATTAATAAGCTGCCCATCGATGTAGAGTGCAGCAGTGCTATTTTTCAGCATGCCTTTGCTCATCACCAGAACCATATGATGCCACTGGCCTTCTATAATGTGTTCACCACAACGAAACCGAGCACAGCAAGGGAGGATTTCGTAGCAGGAGGATTCTTCGCTGAAATCATCAACTGAAGTCCAAAAAATAAAATATAGTATTCAAGTGGGAGACCCTGATGGCCCATACATAATATACTCTCAGGAAGGGGTGTCAGACATATGGCCTATGGACTGGAGCCAGCCTGTCCAAGGGACTTTTCCTGCCCACCTTTATTGCCAGATGTCAGAGGCTGTGCATTATGTCTCTGTATACATTCCTAATGCTAATGTGTAACATGCAATGGAACTGGGAGGGCGGGCATCAGGGAGATACTTTGAGGAAATATTGTGTCAATGTTTTAGGCGTGTTTGTATTTTGAGTAAATAATACTACTGTTAATTGGGTTTTCCTGTGTCCTTTATAAAGTTTATATCTCTGGTAAGCTGGCATTACATTTTATGGCACACATGGCCCGGCCTGACAAAGTGACATTTATGTCAGATCAAGCCCTCGTTAACAAATGAGTTTGACACCTCTGCTCTAGGGAATCAATTGTGGGACAGGAAGCAGTTCTGCATCATCTGCACTCAGCATCCAGTGCAATCAGACAGACGGCACCCACACAATAGACTAGCCTCAAGGTTATCAAAACACAATAGGGAAATCAAGACAGAATAAAATCATTAGGTGCCAGAACTTTCGTATTCAGTACACTGATGCACTATAATAGACTGAGTCAATACTGCAGAAGTCGGGTATACATTTAGACCAGTAAACCAGAACCCCTAAAGTTACAGGAAAGTTAAAGAACATCAGTTTTCATTTACTATGTAAATCATTTGGTGCTTTTAGCAGTAAAAACTTCCTCTAAAAACGTCTATCACATTTCCAAAGTAATACAGTATGAGGCATACCATAGTTCTGAAGTAGCTCTTCCTTGGTTGATACAATCAGTGATCGGTCTTTTGCAGAGAGAACTATGGCAAGACATACGTAGTGCTGCTCCGAGCTGTTTGCTCGTCTTACAACTGTAAGAAGTCTGACGGGATGATGATTTGGGGATGTACTAAAATGTTCTATGCAAAACCAACTTGAATAGCTCAAACCAGATGGCGGTGGAAAAAGTCTCTCTCCTGTAGCGGGTGGGGGAGAAACCAGAACACTTTGGCTTGAAATGAAGTCTAATGAGTCTTTCTGCAGTTTCCTCATAACTTTCTGCATTTGGCTTTAACATTGCATGCATTAAATACCGCTTACTGTTTTTATATGGGTATGTGTGATAATACATTATAACTTTACACTAGAAGATGCCAAATTTTAAATCACGCAGACTTTAGTGACCCTTTCCAACATGTTTATGACAATAATGCTTGCATAATGAACACCTTTAAAATCAAGCAGTGTTCCCTCTAAGCTGAGTTAGTGTGAGCTAGCTCACAGTTTTTTAGCCTCCGGCTCACACATTTTTGTTGTAGCTCAAGAAGGATGGCTCCAGAGCAAACTAATTGATGCAGTAGCCAAATCAGTGGCTCACAACTTTAATGCCCATAGCTCACAAAGTACCATTTTTGCTCACAGGACTCCATAGCTTAGAGGGAGTATTGCTTACAAGCCTTGGCTAAAAACTTGCAACATAGTGGTCCTTCACCCAACAAGGAATAACCAACTAACAGGTAGAGATCATGAGGCCCAGGGCACAAGGGATTCAAGGGACAATGGAAAGTTGCAAGCTTGTGACAACAGGATGACAGGCTTGTGACAACAGGATGACAGGCTTGTGACAACAAAGCAAGCGAGCCACTGGCAATGTAATTGGGAAGTACTACCTCATCAAATACTGGAAATTCTAGCATTTCTCTGAAAAAGTCCAACAAACGTTACCACTGTGCTGAATTTTCATCCTTGAAAATGTTGTGGGTAAAAAGCAGGCTTGAATGGAAGGTGTCATCAAAGAAACCCAAACAAACCATTTTCTCTTTTCTTTTATGGCTGTTACAAATGCCCCTATGCTGCTTCTCTGGCATCATTTTCTGTTCCCCCACTCCTAGCCAATCAGGGAGCAAGACAGATATCATGATATCCAATCATATCTGCTTTTATATTGCTACCACTGAGGGTAAGTGAAGCAGCACTGCCCTCCCTGGAACACGTTCCTATGTTGCTCAAGCAACAAGGCAACAATTCACGTCTTTCTGTGCTGGGCTGACGGGGCAGTTGTGTTACCTGCCCTCACAACACACGTCAAGGAGCTTTGGCAACATGAAGCTGTATTTCTTGTCTTCCTGAATTGCACAGATAGGTAGTAAAATTGCCCTCACAGTGCAATAGAGATAAGATGCATTTGGACAACTGCCTCAGCAACTTCAGGTATGCATTCCCTTCCCCATCGCCCTGGTTCCTATATCTGGGTGTGGCTTATAGTGCCTAAGCAGCCAATTTCCCCTGTTTTTCCACATTTCATAACAGTGGTTTCATTGTCACAGGGAACAATTCCCCTCCCCCCAACCACCCATTGCTGAAAATAAGGAGATGCTTTGAGAGGCACTTAAACGTACACAGACTCCCTCCCCCCCCCAAAAAAAAAACACTGGCTAATAAACTGGTAAAATCCCATTTTATGGGAATGAGCTCTTCTGCCTCTTTCTGTGCCCATGCTAACCCCAGCCTTTCATCAGACGGAGAAATGGTAGCACTGACAGACAAACAGTAAAAACCTTCTGGAATGCCACCATTATGAACACAGCCCTTCTGAAGCAAGAGGACTAATGTGTTTACAACGGCGGAAAGGAAACGGAGCCATTTAAGCACAGCGCTATTTTCAGAAGATGCCAAAAGCACTAAACCCATCTCTCATGATGGCTATGCTGAAAGACTTACCAGCCCCGATTCCACTGACCACAGTGCCATCGGTAAGACCTGTTGTGACTACGTTGTTGGTCGGTGCATTGTGGGGTGCCAAGCTCGGCAAGAACAGACAGCTGTTGAGTAGAGGGAAATTCATTAGACGTTAACATTTCCACGACTGAACGTGATTTGGCAAGCTGACAAACGCCGCTCAGAGCAAGCGAGCCCGAACACCTGCTCCTCCTGTGTTAACTTTTCAGAGTAAAGGTGGGGAATTTGCATCAGGTAAAAAAAAAAAACCCTAACAAGCGTCTACTTGTCATCTTGAAGCACGCAGTGCATGACCTATGCTCATCTCAGCTGTCTACATGAACCTGTGCTTTCTAAAATGCCTGAAGCGTATGTCAGAAGAGAACTGCAAACCTGGATTCCTACAGGAGAAGGAGCCTGGGTATTTATATGAGTGCTCTCTGGAGCACAACTGTACCAAGAACACAAGCACTGGAAGGGGACACTGCGGGCTGACAGACATGACCCTAAGCCAGGGCACTCTGAGAAGCACCCTAAGTAACACGCAGGAAGTTCATGGGGCACTAAGGCTAGTCCAGGCTAGCCCGACCTTTTCAGATAGACTAAGAAGGCTCGGCCCTGGTCAGTATTTGGGTGGGAGACCACCAAGGGATACCAGGGTTGCTACACCGAGGCCAGCAATGGCAAACCATCGCTGAACATCTCTTGCCTTGAAAACCCTATGGGGTCACCCATAAGTCGGTTAAGACCTCATGGCAGTCTTCACCACCACCAAGGTGGTGAGGCATAAGCAGGTGTCTCAGAGAAATCCTCTTCGATAGAATCACAGAGTTGGAAGCGAACTCCAGGGTTATCTAGTCCAAATCCCAGCACAATGCAGGAAATTCACAGGAAATACCTCACCCCAGCACCCCCAGTGACCTCTGTTCCATGCCCAGAAGATGACAGGAAACCTCCAGGATCCCCGGGCAGACCGGCCTGGAGAAAAACTGACCCCAAAGTGGCGATCAGCTCATTCATGTCTGAATACTCTCATACAAGGTCAGGTCATGGGAAAGGCCTCTTGCCTTGAAAACCCTATGGGGTCACCCATAAGTCGGTTAAGACCTCATGGCAGTCTTCACCACCACCAAGGTGGTGAGGCATAAGCAGGTGTCTCAGAGAAATCCTCTTCGATAGAATCAGAGAGTTGGAAGCGAACTCCAGGGTTATCTAGTCCAAATCCCAGCACAATGCAGGAAATTCACAGGAAATACCCCACCCCAACACCCCCAGTGACCTCTGTTCCATGCCCAGAAGATGACAGGAAACCTCCAGGATCCCCGGACAAACTGGCCTGGAAGAAAAACGCTTCCTGACCCCTAAGTGGTGACCAGTATTTCCCTGGGCATGTCTTGTGGATGTATGCCTGCAAGGCTGCTTTTATGCAAGGAGTCCCACTGAGGGTTTTTCCTTTCCCACAACTGCCATCTCTCTGCCACCTGTTTATGTGGTAGCAACACTCATGTTTGCTAATACTTCTTGGGATTCCAAAAGCAGAGTTTTGAGCTCTCTGAGGATTTGTGTTAAGGACTCTGCTGCTGCTACCCAACTCTAGCCTCTAGCATCGGCCCCTTCAACCAATTCTTCACAATACGGTAACACCCTCATTTGGAGGGAAGTAACTTTTACAAAGAGCTGCGGTGGCTCAAGTGGTTAAGACGCTGAACTGCAGGCTGTGGAAGGTCAGTAGTTCAGCAGTTCGAGACCCGGGTGCCGCAAGACGGGGTGAGCTCCTGTCTCTAGTTCCAGCTCCTGCCAACCTAGCAGTTCGAAAGCAAGAAATTGCAAGTAGATAAATAGGTACCACTTCGGTGGGAAGGTAACAGCGTTCCGTGCACCTTGGAGTTTAGTCATGCCGGCCACATGACCACGGAAACGTCTTCGGACAGCGCTGGCTCTTCGGCTTTGAAACGGAGATGAGCACCGCAACCCTAGAGTCGGATTCGACTGGCTTTTGAGCAAGGGAACCTTTACCTTTACCTTTAACTTTTACAAAAACTGGGTACCACTGTCACTCCTTCACTAGGACAAGGGCTCTAAACACACACCCAATCTACTTAACACACACGCACACTTCTCCTTGAGGAATCAGTAATCTATCAGAGCAACCATCCAAGGCAAAACTAATTGTTTTAGAATCAAAACAGTGGATTAGTAATTAGAAACATTCCTTTGAAATGAAAAAGAATATAAGCCTTGCAAGGCCTTACCCGAACCCTTCAAGAGACGTGTCAAATTCAATAAATGCTGGAGTAACTGATGACCCATGAAGCCTAATATCATGTGGGGTTGTCATGGAGACCAAACATTTCACTCTTGTCAGGGGTACTGTGCTTCCTTCTGCTGGTTTTAAGAGGCTTTTACTTATCCTATAGTGATTATCTTCGTGTAAGCTGAACACACAGTCAGTACCCAAACCTTCCATTGATGTAACCATGCTATCTACAGCAGAAGCCAAGAAACAAAACAAGATTTCTCAGATTAGTAGTTTTATCACATCCCATTATTTATGGCCATGTTGGAAGCCCACTACAAAAAACCCCCGGAAATAAATATTATTGATTTATTTTTACAATATCCCAAGATTTAAGAGAATCAGGTTTAATTCATGTGATGAGGTTGCTAACAGCTTGATGCAAACACTGTACAATACTGATAACCATGGCTTTCATTTCCTGCAAGCTTATTTTAATGAAGCTGAATCCAGATTAAAGACAACCGCATGTGAAATCAGACCCATAGAGCTAAAGGGAGTTTTGTTTACGCAAACACAAGTTTCTAGACACAGTGACAAACGGCACAATTTTCTTAAATGGAAGTACTTAAAGTTAAACCAGCCAAGTCCTAATGAAGTCAATAGAGTACAACAAACCTGAACTCTGCAACACTAGCTTGGCTGTGAATTGAGTTCAAAAGGAAAACTGGCCTCCTTTGTTCCAACTCAAGCTAAACACAATAGATCTTAATGGATTTAATATCAGTAAAACAAATCTGTACACTGAGAATATGGTAGCCTCTAGATAATTACTTTCAAATGAAAGCTATATAGTTCCATACAGGCCTGATTTTACCATACAAAACTCATTGGTTTCCAAGTTTGTTCTGCCAGTCAGGAGGAGACAAAAAGGCATTTTGCTCTACATTCAAATGGAAAAAGGACTGGATATGATGTTGGTATTTCCATGGAATGACTATATCTCAGCACCATTAAGACAGTGGGCCAGTGCAGATATAACACAGTCACTTAACCATGGTTAAGGAAGCAAGTTTACACTTCAAGCCCCTCCCCTTCTTAAGCCTGTATTCCCCCAAATTGTTTTTTATCTTTTTCTGTGTGTATTTTAGCTTGGTTTTGTTTTATTGAAGTGTTTTTTGTTTGGCTTTAATGGTTTTTAAGACACGTTCTACTATTTATGTTTTTAATGTGTTAGCCACCTTGGTAACCCTCATAAGGGCAGAAAGGTTGAGTATAAATTTCAGAAATAAAGAAATAACCTATTTCAAACACCTGAACACTTACTTCTCATCTCTGGCTCATAACTTAATGAGCTTGGCTTATGCACTCTGTATCGTTTCAACAGCTTTTTGTCCCAGGCGCCACAATTCAGAGGATTTCCCAAACGTAAAAATTCCCTATTAAAAAAAAGAGAGAGACAGAGAGATGGAAAGAGAGTCTTCAAGACAGTTTGCGTTTCCTCTAGATACGTATGTGAAGTCAAGCACATGCACATTCTCAGCATGCATTTAATGAATGGATTCAAGAAGTAAAACAAAATATAGCGAAAGACACATTTAAATATAAAGCAGCCTTTCTAAAACTGTACTTTTGCTTTGTTGTGCTGAAATCAACAACTAACATTTAAATGAAGTCTTTTACTTAGCTTGCTTTTTCTACAGTAAGAACTTAACTACCAAGAGCAGCAAAATGTCATCCATTTACATCTGCTTAGCCATGGTCCAGACAGCTTCAGGCATCATCTAGGAATCTATTCTAAGACAACATACTGCTCTCTAAGCACATTGACCTCGACAGGCTTAGAAGGGAGCAACTTCTGCTTAGGACTGCACTATACGCCTATTGGCCTAATTATATACATGTGTCAGGAAACTGTACCAGGTGTAGATATGAAGAACTGCATTTTTTTCTTTTGAGGTTTGAAATGAGCAAAACCTTCACTCCAAGTTTCAAACGTTCCCCCCCCCTCTCTGGGCATAGAAAAGGCAGGAAGGGGGATAGTCAGACCAATTGCTTTCCAGATTTTCCTCAGCCCACCGTCATATAAATGCTAATAGGTCTAGAAAATGGGATAGTCAAGCTCCCCCACTCTTCAAGCAGGGAACAGAGATTTGGAGGTGTTAAACACTATAGAGACTTCAGGAAGGAAAATTCTGGAGACTTCTTGAAAAGCTTCTCTGACCTGGGCTGACCTGGTCAGTGGGTGGGGAAAAGGGACATGATAAAACTCAGGGGAGCAAGGAGGAAGGTTTCTTTTGTGCTGAGTCCATCAGAGCAGGTCTGGAGGAGGCAGCCATTGACCATGTGATGTCCTGATGAGCTGAAGGAAACTTCAAGGTAATTGTAACACTGTAGAGATCTGTAACCTCCTAAACTAAGGAGCCTGTCCTATATTTACATCTGAAAGGGCTTGTACAGAGAGAGGGACAGAGGAATTCCATTTTACCCATTTCTTTTGAATCCTTTGCTCAGTCTGGTGCTGTGCTGAAAGTATGCTTGTGAATGTTTTTTCTTTAATAAATACTTTATAACGTTTGATGCTGGTAGTGGTTCTCTGTACCACATATACCTCTACCGTCTTGGACACACTATTTTTAAAGAAGAGCCAGGGGAAGGCAGGCAGTTGGTAAGTGGCTATTCCTGCAGGGACACACAAGGCAGTAAACTGTCCCCGTGATGATCAGGCAGTGGGAGACACAGAGGCAAGGCCTCAGAACTTGGAAGGGAAGCTGGGAGTCCTGACCCTCCCAGCAGGCCATTCCTACAAAGGTGGTGGCAGCGGGTTACCAGACAAAGAGAAAAGCCTCTCCAGGAGTTGAGAAAACCTTGGATGGCAGGGTGGAACAGGGCTTGCACACTAAAAATATACAGATGTGACCACCAAGTACTGGATTTCAAAATACTATGAATTTAGACAAGCCAACTGGTTAGTAGAAACACAGCAAAGTGCAAGTTCTTTTTAAGACTCCCAAGATTACCAGTTGTTGTTTATTTAATTTTCATTTTGACAAGCATGTTTTTGGCCCACATTAGCAGGAGTCTGAATGAGTAATGGCAAAAATCTTTAAGTGGGCTCTAAATGGCAAATAGCTAGAAAAATAATCCTTCTGTTTTGTTATGCTAAAAAAAGAGTCTAGCCATTGATCCAATTAAATTTAAAACACACTTAAGATAGCAAACAGTGTGCTTGAAGTTATTTAATTCTCCTGTTGCCTATCATTCAGCCTATTAATAAAGCGGGGAGCTAATTTGCAGATGTATTGGATATCAAAAGGCAGGAGCATGTCTCTACCAACTGGGGCTGGTGGGGGAGCCCCAAATATATGCCAAAAAAACCCCAACCCTGATGGAGGGGAAAAGAACTATGCACGCATCAAAATCAGTCTGAACACATGCACTATGACGACTCTGAAGGAAGAATGCACTTGAACACATGAAGCTGCCTTATTCTAAATCAGACTAGTGGTCCATCAAGGTTAGTATTATCTACTCAGACTGGCAGTGGTTCTCCAAGGTTTCAGATGGAGGTCTTTCACATTATGAACTACCTAATTCTTGACTGGAGAAGCCAAGGATTGAACCTGGGACCTTCAGCATGCGAAGCAGATGGTCTACTCACTGAGCCACAGGCCCTCCCATAGGTACATGGAGACAACCAACAGGGAAAAGGGAACAGGATGAATGGAAAGAGAGCCAAGCAAGCTTTTTGCCCATCCAGCCCCAGGAAATACAGCCCGCTTGCCTGCTCCACCCCTGCCTAACAGATGAACAATGGGATTTTAGAGATTTTTAAAGGGTACTATGAATTTGTGGGTGAAACAACACAAACAAAACCAGATTTATAGTTATCCATAAAACACTGCTTCTATGCTCACAAGCCCCTAGCAGGGCAATTCAAAGGGCCTAAGAAGGAAATAATATGTTATTAAAATTATACTACTTTATTTAAAGTCAAAATACAGTTTAGAAAGACTGATACAAAAGAGGATAGATTCAGGTGGGTAGCCGTGCTGGTCTGAACCAACAGAACAAAGTTTGAGTCCAGTGCAGGGGGGTGGGGAATAGTCAGAGTGTCAAAAATACTGATATTACTAACTAAAATTCCAAAAAAACCTGACAAATTACTGAACAATTTAATCTCAGCCTACTGATAAGCTAGTGTTTTAAAAATAAAACTAGGACTTCATTAAAAATGATTATTATCTGGCCTCCACCCTCCCCATAAGCCAGCCCCATAGTCACATGTGATCCAGATAAAAGGATTGCACACCTTTTTATTGAATGATTTAAAATGGACAATGTTTTCATTATTGTACAAAATTTAAGGCAAAAAAGATTCCCTTTTAGAAATAATCACATACTGTAGATAATAAAACAGGAAAACATATTAAAAACTACACATAATGACAACAAAACTTAATTACTGTAAGGTAAGACTTGTCTTTGCTTTAACTTTCATCTTTGGTTTTTTGATGAAAAAAGAAGTTATTAACAAACTCTTTTGTTTCTCAACAGTTTTCAGCACTGCATCTGCAAGCATTTTTTCCTTGTCCTCTTCTTCCATTGCTTTCTCCACTCCTTCTAGCATGAGCTGTGCTGTGCTGAATCCCACCACATCCTTTTTCTCAGCAGCCTCCTTTACACGTTTGGTTGCATCATTTAGCAACGTTCGAGCAGTCATCCTCTTCTCGTTCTGCTGTCTCAGCCTTTTCAGTTTTGCTTCCTTCTCTTCCTTCTCTTTGCTCCCCTTCTCTTCCTTTTCACTGTCTATCTTCTTAAACCTAACTCCTCTGCCTTTCCCCCCTCTTTCTTTTCTTTTTTGTTTTACCCCTCTTTAATGACACACTGTTCATCACAATATTGCTTGTAATGAACCAGACAGACAACCTTTATTGGCATGTGAAAAAATAAAAGTATATTAAAATCATATACATGATATAAAGTTTCTTTGACGATTCGGTGGGCATTCAAAGTTCTCTCTGACATCCTGGCCCTTTCATTGGTCAAAATGCATCCGGTTTCTGAAAACCCTCTTTCTATGTCCGTACTACCATGCAATAATGATAAGATTTTATTAGTTTCAATAGAGACAGAAAGACAACTACGGAAAAGGAAAGAACATATAAGAACAGTAACTAACAACAATGGAGTCTATACTCTTGTTTCATTATTTGTTTACAGTGTTTACAATGTAAAAAATAAACTATAAATCTAAAAAAGGTTTATTACAAGATAAAAGTATTGTATGAAGTAAGGTGTATTAGAAATTGATACTACAGTAACATGATAATGCTGCTTTCACCACCACGGTAACTAGTGGGTATTTTGGATCTCCAGATGGGTGTGTCTTTTCTAAGAACTGATTCCAGTATGTATCTATGTGGCAAGTTTCACTGGCATCTTCAAGTCTAAGAAGTTTCCATTCATCCGCAATCATGTCCAGTAGAATATCCATCGGGCATGCTCCTGCTACTTTCATTATATCCTTGTGGGTTCCTTCCTTGACCCCCTGTGCTGGAGCTAAACATTGAAGCTATCTGAGGATGGGCTTGTCCAAAGACGACTGGAGTAAAACGTGTTTGCAGACTGCTATGAAAAATTTTTTTGCTCCCGTTAAAAAGAGTGGTTGTTCCTTTTCAGAAAGTTTTTTCAGTTCATCAGATTCTGCTTTCACTGCTTACTTCTCTCACAGTATGCAGTGCTCATCACTGAAGGCTTCAAGAGACAATGGTGCTGAACTCTTACAAACACGATTCATTATGGTTCTTGTGAGTGTTTTTACTTCACTGTGCATCACACGCACCAAAGGCTCTTCTTTCTGGAACACTCCTGTGAACTTTAAGCGGGCACTCGTGCAAAAAAATATCACCTCTGCTTTCATTGTCTCGTGTTTTAAGAGGTTCATTATGTTTCTATATATTGTGGAAGATTTCACTAAATCACTTTTACTCTTAGGAACAAAGTCCTTAAAGTACTTCATAACTGAACTAAAAACAATCCATCTTCTTACTGGGAAGTCATCATGTTTTCCCCAAAAGGCAGTAATGAAAACAAAAAAACCCCCACAAACTGCATTCACAAATATCAAAGAAATAATGACTTTACTGACCGATTTTTTTAAAAAACTGACAAATTACTGACCAAGATGAAAAAACTGACTTTTACTGATTTTACTGACCATTTTCCACCCCTGCAGTGGCACCTTTGAGACCAACAAAGTTTAGTTTTGGTCTCAAACTTAGTTCTCACATCTGCTTGTTAACTCTTGTATTTGTATGCTAATTTGCTGCCATTCACAGGTCTTACCAACTGCTTTAATCCAATCTCAGCTACACTTATCGCCCAATTGCTTGCACATCCTGACTCTAACTAGCCCTTCCTGGAAACTAACCTCCCCACCTTCCCTTTACCTATATGTAAGGCTTGAGGAAACCTGTTTTAATGTACCTGAATAAGTGTGCATGCACACAAAACTTATACCCAGAATTAAACTTTGGCTGAGGTCACACGGGCAGGAAAATGCAGGGGGGAAGCGTGGCTGTTTGCCCCGGGGCAAAATAACGCACGGTTGCACAAGCAGACATCCCATGGAGGTCCCGTGGAGGTCTCGTGGTAGGGGGGAGGTGCTGATCACACCACAATCCTGCGGCACGGCAAAGAAGTGGCGCGCCGCGGCAAACGGGTGGGGTTTTTTCTGTACACCGACGTGTGCGCATGCCCCGTTGGATGCTTGTGCGCATCCCGAGGACACTTGGGAAAAAAACCCCTTTTTGCGAGGGGACATGGGCGGGCGCCGGATGCCATGGGATTCCACCGGAAACGCAATCACCCGCGCCCGCCCTTGCCCTGTGGTTTCTGAAAACTAGTACCTCCGAGGTACTAGTTTTTTACCGCGCATCTTCGGAGTGAAGCCTCGGGTGAGCCACGGGAGCTCTACACTTCCCAGATGTGGCGGTGAGATTGCGCCCGGAAAATCCGCCTATCTTCCGTCTCTCTAGCGTGCCTAATGCTCCGTGTGACCGCAGCCTTAGTTGGTCTTAAAGGTGCCTCAGGACTCAAACTTTGTTCTACAAAAGAGGATGTTTACATGTAAATTTACAGCCACATCCATTACATGATTACTCAGAATGAAGTCTGAGTTCAATGCACCTATGCTCAAGTAAGTTGTGAAGAACACTGATCAGTACAATGCTAGGCATCTTTACTTGAAAGTAAATCCCACCCATTACCATCAGAGTTTACTTTTAAGTAACTGTGCTCTATTTCAAGGCATTTTTGTGTTGTGCAACACAATTATAACACTCCTTCATTTCATGAAACCTCCCAACATTATTTATTTATTTTGACTTCTATCCCACCCTATCCAGCAAGTGGGCTCAGGGCAGGGAACAATAGATAGGTTAATGACTATAAAAGCATTTAACATTAAAACTGAGACAAGTTTAGCCAATAGCAACGATGGCAACAAGATGGAGAATTCAAATGCCTCCGGCAGCTGACAGTCTTCTAGCATGGTCAGTTTAGATGAAAAACAGTGACAAAGACCATGTACGGGGGAGACTGGAATGGATTAAACATCCGCCACCTCAACCAAAAGCCTGGCAGACCCTGCAGAACTGTAATAGATCCTGCAGGGCCCTGATCTCAGGTGGAAATGTGTTTCACCAAGCCGGGGCCTGGGCAGAAAAGACCCTGGCCCTAGCTGAGGCTAAGCGGACATCTTTCGGGCTGAGATGTTGGTCTGCAGAACATGAGGCTCTACAGGGCATGTGATTTGACCCAGCCCCCACAGCATCCATTTTACTGTGGTGCCCACCCAATGCCTGCTGTCCAAATTCCAAAAATACCTGGAGATTTAAGAAGGCCGGGGACCTCTTCCCTTGTACAGTGAGCAACAGGGAACACTCATAAGGAAACCAGTAAGGTTAGGGCTTCTCAACAACACTGACACCAAAGCGATTCATTCTCCTATTTCTCTAGAATCCCAACCACCTATACCTGCCCCACAAAATCCATGAATGCGAATGCGTCAACTAAACATAGGTCTGATTTTTCCCACTTACCTCAGCACCACTGGTTCCAGTGCTTGAGAGGCCAGCCTTTCAAACATCCTCTGGAGGGGCGGATGCAAGGGATGGTCTTCATCAGCAAGAGCCGCACTGCATCTCTGGAGAAGTCGAGCATGGAGTCCCGCTTCACACATGACTTGCTGATTTCTTTCTGTGTGCACTAGGGACTGCAAGATGTTGGCCACGGCAAGCTGAAGATCCAGGGCATGCTACATATTGCCATGGGGAAAAAAATTAAACAAACAGTACAAAAGTCAGAGATATGTCATTAACACGGCATTTTCCCTGTATGGGTCATGGCTCGAGTTCTTGATCTACTCAACTGCTCAAAGGCAAAAAGTCAGCAATCAGACAGGCACAAACTCTTCTGTGCACCTGAAGCAGCTCTTCATGTACTGAGAGATGCATCCCAATCAATTCGGATGGAAGTTTCATGAGTTTGAAAGACAGCTGTCCCTTTGTCAAAAAGAACCATGCTGGCATAAACTATCTGATAGATGTTCTGTAGTGTGGAGCAATGGTCGAGGCCCCAGACTAGGACTAGGCAGTCTCAGGTTCAAATCCCCACTGAGCTATGAAGCTCATTGGCTGACCTTGGGTCAGACATTTCCCCTGTGCCTAACCAACTTCGAGGAGGAGGAGGAGGAGGAGGAGACCTGTGCATACTGTCCTGAACTCCTTAGAGGAAGGACAGAATAACACACTCACCAACTCTGTTTTCACACTGTCAATCAACAAATACAGTCTTCTCATAACATGTGACAGTATACGCCTCATACTGTACTCCTATGCTTGCAATACTGTTTTTCTTTTTAAAAAATCCTACTAATGATTTGTTAGGAATGTCAGCTTCCTTTTACTGTTGGCTAAAAAAAAATATGGCTGCCAGATAGTATCAAAATATTGGCATCGGATTCAGCGAAACAGGCTCCAGTTCCCAATTAGGCATGTGCTTCTTTTATTTATATATAATGGCTGGGATCCAATTTGCTACTTTGGGCAAGCACAAATGCTTGGCTTTTCTTCTTTGAACAGCAGCTCCCATACCAGATTGCAACTGCTTTTTAAGTAACATCCCACCCCCCCAAAAAAACCCCTGCTTTTAAAACACCCCCTTCCCCCTTTCAACATGGATCCAGACCAGAAATATGATAAAGATTCAAATCCCCTGCTTCCTTAACAGAATTCAGAGTTATCTGAAACCATTAAAGTTAAGGGACTGGATCTGACCAGTTTTCCCACCGTCACAGGAGAGAGGAGGGCCCCTTCTACCCCTCCACCTGAACCTATGCTGGTGACAGGGGACCTGTGTGGACAAAAAGCAACAAGGGACAAGTGAAGAGGGGAGAATTAGCTGAGAATGCACTTCCTCCCACTCCTGCCAGAAGAAAAGCTAGCCGACACCAACGCAAGGCCATTAATTCAAATTAAACCACTTCATTGCTTTTGTTATAGCACTTGACCCCCACGGTTTAAATGATCGACTCGAAAGAACTCTTACTTCTGGCTGTGTAGCCGACCCAACTGAGACTAGGAGGTCTAACATGGAAAGCATTGCTCCAGGGTGAATGATGACTGCATCCAAGCTCTGCAGAGGCACCGTTCCTTTGTGCAGCTTCAAATCCCCAGAATTTTTGGGAGGGAATACTGGTGGGGTTGAAGAACAATGATATGCATGCCTAAAGGAGAAGGAGGGGGGAGAAAAATAAGTGACCTTTAATTCATACACAATTACGAGGCTTACGAGGGGAAAAAAATACACAGCAGTTGAATGGAGCACACCAAAGAATTTGTATTTGTATGTTTTCTACAATCTTCTAGTCATCACGGCCTAGAATTTCATAGGCTGATTCATATACACAAGTTCATATTGGTAATACGCAACTGTAGGGTATGTAGGTTCCCTCCTAGAATGCCAATTCAATTTCCTTCTGTCTTAACCAACTACTTATCAGCTGTTGAAATACGATATTAGGGGAAAACAGTATTATTTCAACACAAGTCTTGTATTTTTTTAAAAAAAGCACTGAACCTTCACACTATGAAAGGGTTAATTCCAGGAGGAGGAGGAGGAGGAGTTGGTTTTTAAACCCTGCTTTTCTCTACAAAGTGGCTTTCAATCCCTTCCTCTCCCCACAACAGTCACCTTGTGGGGTAGGTGGGCCCGAGAGAGTTCTGAGAGAGCTATGACTGGCCCAAGGTCACCCAGCAAGCTTCATGTCGAGGAGACGTGGGAAATCAAATCCAGTTCTCCAGATTTGAGTTTGCCACTCTTTTATTTATTTATTTAATTTATTTATTATATTTATACCCCGCCCATCCCGCGAGCAGGCTCAGGGTGGCTAACAAATGGTACAATGT